TTTTTTTTTTTAATGCCATCTTGCGATTTAAAAATCAAATTCTAAAGAATGTTCTTCCCAAATGAAACCTTTTTATATTTAGGTTCAAATTTGCTTTTAAATTTCTCATCAGATTTTGCAAAAAATTAGGCTTTTAGCATCATTAAATTTCACAAATTAATTTATGCAAAACACCTGAAGAAGGCTTGAACAGACCGCCCTCCGATAAACAGCTAACAGATCGTCGTTTAAATTACAAAACCGTGTATCAACAAAATGCACAACTGCGTATGTGAGGTTGCATAAATTATTTAGAAGAGAGTAAAACACTCACATTTCAAAATGGATCTCTTTTTTACAAAGAAATCGCATTTCAGGACGAATGGATAAGGGTTGAGCCAAGAGCTTGTGTGAGCAAATCCAATTTTTGGAGAAAAATGTCAGTTACGCGGTTTTGCAGTTACACATTCTCATGCGTTCTGAAACCTAGTCGTCAACCCCATTTGCGAAATCATTTAGCCGGCATAATTTTCTAGTTCATCATATTTCACATCTTTGAATGTACTGATAAAATCTCTGCTTAAAAAAATATATTTCTTCCAGTAATCAGGTAGCATGAATTTGATGAAATGCCATAATTTTATTAAAAGTCAAATGGTTAGCAACAACAACGAATGTCATTAAATGAAACTACCTTCTTTTTTGTATCATGACTTAAACTTATAAATGAAATGTAAATGCCACCGACATGAAGTAGTAAATATAAAATTTTTTCAATCGTAAGTGACGCGTTTACGTTTTTTAAAATATATTATTAAAAGAAAAAATTAAATAAAACCGATGTGGTAAAAAAAAGTCCAATCCAGGAGCCGCTGCGCTAATCGGTGGAGCATTCGAGTCTTCAAATGATGAGTTCCCCTTATCCTTTCTTAGTTTAAAATTCAATTAAAAATGTACCAAATTTTTTTCAGAAAAGTTCATCAATGAGAATGGCGGCGATAAAGCGGATTATATAGCTGCATCGATGTCGCTTTTCCAATTTGCCAATAACCGCAAGTAATTGAAAGCACGCAACAAGATGTAATAATTAACTTTTTTATGCTTAATTTGTATGTGTTATTGTGAATTTGTATGCTAAAATGTCTATTCCCTATTTATATTTTCGCGACTGTAGATGAGTCCGCCGAAAATTCGCAATTCGTTTAGTTTCTAGATGTTA